ACCCAAGAGATGCACGCCAGCCTCAAGCCTTGCTGTTCTGCGTTACCTTTTGGTGGAACAGAGGTCTCCACCCATTGGCTGTGATTGGTGGCATTACTGTTCTTGCACTCACTTCTCACTTTGAAACGCATCTCCTTATTCAAGACTGTGTCAGTCACACGAAAGAGACTCTTTCTCCACTCCTAGGTTTAGATGGGGGAAAAGAAAACCAGAACATTTGGAATATTGCATCAAATACACAGAAATTACTACAAACACACATTTGAGTCCATTAAAAAAAAAAAAAAAAAAGCTGAAAGCCCAATGAAAAGCCCAGTGACACGAATATCTGACCGCACATGGAAGAATTGATGTCACTTAGATGTTTATTTTCCTTATCAGACACGCTCCCAACTCAGCAAGAGAATTCTGTGTGCTCGTTCATGTCTACTGTAATGGGAGCAAGGAACCCCACCACAATGGGGGTAAGGGATCAAAGATTTCACACAGTGTGGAGGAGAATGATCCTGCAATAAGTCCGCATGGATCTAACAGCTATTTCACTGCTGCTGACCTTATTTGTTAGACCCTCCCACAAACCATTCCACTTGCAATCCAAGCAGGCTTCCAGTTAGTTACTGAAACTATTAAGGAAGTAAATCTCTTTCTGCTGAGTTAGCAAGTTCAACTGACTCACAGAAAGGTCTGACAGCGATCATTAGAGGAGAGGCTGTCAAAAATGACATACAACCCTTTCAGCAGTGTCCAGTCATCCTATCAGCTCATCTGTTTGTGAAACCACAAATCCCAGCACATCCTGGGGCTCTCAGACAGAACACAGCAGTCACAGTGCAAAGGCCATTAGGAAAACAACAGCTCAACAACAAAGGATTACTTCAGCAGGCATCCTTAGGGGCGTTCCATTGATTTTAACCATGCCCAGCACTGCTGGCCCCATGGTCAGTGTGTACTTCAAGCTTCAAACTCAGACCGTTTGAAACTACTGACGGATGGAAAATTATCTAACTCTCCTACAGCCCCCTCAGTGTCACAGAAACGCTTCTTGTCATTGTGATCAAAGAGTTCTCAATCTATAGTGAGACACACCGAGAATCACACCTGGGATGCAAAACACCCAACACAGAAAGAAAAGCAGGAGAGCCAAATGAACCCATTTTCAAAAGAAAAAGATTTCTTCCATGCTGTCTTCAAAACACAAAGCCCACGAGCAATTGGAAGCACAGTGCTGGGGCAGGGCAGGCATGCACACACACTCCCACATTATTACTGCAATACTCCTGTGTTATTGGGAGTAGTTCCATTATCAGAGAGTGACAGGTTTTTTTCTCCATATTCCACATGTTGGAGTGACTCGTTTTTGAGGTTTTGATCCCACGACAAAAATCAGAAGTTGTAATACAACTGCACTTCTTAATATGTCTACAGATATAATAATATAACACACACAGATCTAGCTTTATCACAATAATATATTCACCAGAGCACCTGCTGCAGAGCAGCAGGACAAGAGGAACTCACGTTTTTGTGCTGAGACACCTCATCGATCAGGATGTCACTGGAATATTCCAGGTCACAGCTACTGCTGATGTTCTCCGGGGGATTCCACGTCCAGTTCAAGGTGCAGATTTGGATAAATGAATAGTTGAGGTTGGATGGAGGGGGTAGAACTTTTTCTCCTAAAAGGAAGAAGTTATTGCTATAGCAACCCCATTGCTCCACATTTCACCATTGATAATGACAGATTTTTAGCTCTTCATCAGAACGTAAAGAGCATTCTTCCATGTTTGCTATCAGAAAAGCTAATGTCCACCACAACGCCTCCACCATTCCCATTAACAAGGCCCACTGATTATCACTATAAGAAACACGGAATATATTTTAAAGTGATTTCAAGGAAATCACAGCATAGAGCATCTGTTTATAGGGAAAGATGAATCTCAGTGCCCGCGTTTCCCATTTCTTGTTGTGAGTTCGCATCACGAACGCCAAATCTTCTGCAAATGTATGTAGAGCCTATGAAGCCGTTGATATTTTATCCTACCCACAATTCAGCCATCAGTACAGGTTCAAAAAGAACACTTCAAAAAGAGAAAAGCCATCACCACTCGTAAGCAACAGCAGTAGGCCAGAGCCACAGTTCAGCCCAATCTAATAAAAAACAAAAGCGTTACTCAAACAAACAGACAAACAAGCCCACAAAGCTTCTTCAATTACTCACATTTAACACCATGCTCTACACGGTGAGCCAACTTAGCACGGAAAAACAGTAATTCACCACGGCTGTGCTTCAGTGGTAAATATTTTTGCCTCCTCCAAAGCACGACGGAGCAGAGGAAAGCAGAGGAAAGTGACTCAGAGGCGCTGGGATAAACCCATGTGTGCCTCCAACCTTCCAGACCTGTGCACTGAGTCACTGCCTTCTAACAGCTCATCACGGCTCGAAGGTCAGATGGAGAAGGAAACGAGACAGAAAGTAAAAAACTGTCAGGAAAAACTAAAGCGTGGTGCATTCTAGAAAAAGTCAGCCACTGGTAACTCCCTAAGAAACCCTCAGCGTGCTACTAAAAGATATTTAATAAGAGGCCAAACGAGACGGCTTCTCGATTGCATTTAGGTCTCACTGCTACCTGCTGGCTGTGGAAGGGGTATCCCTGCTGTGCAGCAGCTCCACAAACACTTGAAACTGATACCAACCGGCGCTACGTGTCCCAAAACCCCCTCCAACATCTGGGGCAACGTGTGTGACAAGGGAAAACAGTGACATAGATAGGAGATCTCCCATCCAGTTCAGCATGCAACCGCATTTGCTTCTGCTAGCAGAAGGAAGAGGGTGGAAGAAAAGGCAAAAAAAGATTCCTTCAGCAAGAATTCTGCTGCAAGCGTCTCTCATACCATTATCTTAAATGTCCTGAGAGCCATTTCTGCTGAAGCTCCAAGAAAATTCATCCAGCAGCTGCGGGGCTCTCTGAATTTGCACAGCCAAGGAACAGGCAGCAGCAGAGCTCAGATGTTACCATCTGTGTCACAATTTATGTTCATAACAAAAATGAGAAGCGTCACCGGGATTTGCTGCCTTAACCCAAACACTCCTGGCTTTTCTGAGCAGACAAAGCTTGCGGAATTATTATTGTTATTTTAAACAGCTGGTCTCAGAAGCAAAGAACACGCAGTAATTCTGAATCACCAAGCTTACAAAATAGTCTCCTTCTAGAACACCAAGCCAGAACACCATCACCTGTCCCACTGCAGAACACATTTCCCTATTGCCTCTTCCACAGCAAAGCCCCTCCAAACAGCAGCAGGGCCTGAGCCTGTCAGCTCCAAGTGCTGCTTCATGGAGGTCCTTTAGAAAACACAAAGGAAACAAAACGTGCCACCAAATATTTATTCAGCGCTCTGAACGATGTCTTCTCCTGATCTTTCTTTGAAATCACCCACAAAAGCCACAAATCATTAAAAAAAGTGAGTTTTCTCAGTGGTCACCATTTAAAAGGTCTGGCGAGAATTTTCTGCCTGCCCACAGTGAGAACTGGGAACACTCAAGGTTTGTAAATACATGAATTGCATCCGTGTAAGAAACTTAAATCCAAAAAGCCTTGAGTTGAAGCCGAAGCTTAAGAATTGTGTGGGTTCATTCAGCTGAAAATTTGCTTTTATTTGTGCATCCAGTCCAACATGCACACATATATTTACATACAATATAGACACAATCTAATACTTCGTTATTCAAATCTCACTGGCACAGCAATTTGGCAGGACACCTCAACAGCCAAATACAAAACATGAAAGATACGACAGTTTGGAGGGCTGGAAGTGGGTGATTCTTAAGGTCCCTTCCAACACAAACCATTCCAAAGCTTTAATATCGCTCTTGAAAAGAAAAGAAAAGGAAAACCAAAACCAAACAGCGCAGTGATAGCTTCCAAGAAAGCACAGCAGTAATGCAAACAGCAGAGCTGAAACAATACTGCACATAAACAGCACCAAAACCCCACGAAACCTTTTAAAAACCATCAGGTGGAAACATCAACGAACGTTCTGTATGAATTACTGTAACAATGTCTTAAAAAAGAACAAAACAAACAAACAAAGCCCTTTCTCCTTGTCCTTTATTTTCTTAAGACGCACTTCGTGGTTATAAAGCAGCAATTCCCAAACGCTTGAGGCCGTACGGACGCATCAAAGCGAGCCATAGGGCTTCATCCCCTGCATCTGGACACCCCCCGCTTCTCATCAGCCCCCCACGCACCCGCTCCGCTTTCCTGCTCGCCCTTCCGAAGGAATTCGGGGTGCGGAGGGGCGGCTCGGAGCACCGCTGCTGCCCAGCGCACACCGCAATGCCCGCACAGCTTCGGCTCGGGTTTCTTAAAGCAGCGACAGCCCCAGGAACCGCGGAGCTTAAAAGATACCTGCGATCTGCCCTGCAGGGAAAGAGATGCAGAACTCCGAGCATCTCCCTTCCCCGCTCCAGTAAGAGGCGCAGCGCAGTGCGGGTGCCGATCCCTCTGAAGCTCACGCACTTCGGGCGATGCAGCCACGAAACGAAAGCTTTTGATTTCGGTAGACGATGCCAACCAGCCCCCAAACCCCCCGTCGGTCCGTCCGCCCGCAGTCTCTCGCCGATGACTGCTCCCCGCCGACACCGAACCCGGCTCTTTCTGCCCTCCTCCCCCCGGCCCGGCCCAGCTCACCTGCAACCACCGCCGCCGCCACCGCAAAACACGCGGCGAGGAACAGCAACCGATACCGCAGCGGAGATCCGAACGAACCCCGGCTCTCCATCGCTCCACCGCTCCCTCCGTCCGACAGCGACCGACCGCACGCTCGCACTTCCCGTCGCGGGGGCCGGGCCAGACGGGAAGAGCCGCGCCGCGGCCCGCCCAGGTAACCCGAGCCGAGGGGGAGCGGCCTCGGAGGGCGGCTTCGGCCAACCCGCGCCCACCTGGGCGGCCCCTCGCCGTGCCCGCTGCCCGTCGGTACCGCTTCGTCCAGCGCCCGCGCCGCGGAGCCGAATGGGCGCCCAGCGCGTCTGTGGTGCCCCCCCAGGGCTCCTCCCCCAGGCACCAGCGCGGCCGTAAGCTCGAAAAGATCGCGTCTGGGGGAGTAAAAGTGATTTTTCACACCTCGGCTCCAACCGCTATTGAAACGTGTCCGAGATGCTAACGTCTTCTCGCGAAGAAATTGAACGTGTTAAGTGAGTCCCCGGTAGCTCTCGTGATGTTACGCTCAGTTCATCAGTTCCCCCTACAGCAGAACTCGTCGCTTCCAAATCCCTCCTGCAATTTTGTGCCATCGCTGTAGCTGCCATCTGAACTAAAAACGTGCCTTGTTCCTTTTCCTACCCACCATGCCAGCTCTTCCTTATGCAAACTTTCCCAAACTTCCTCCGCTTCGGCAGTTTCGCAATCAAGATTAAGGTTGCTTTTTGCTCTCTTTTATTGGTGTGACGTGGCTGCAGTTTTCCCAGATTTCCACATTAGTGGAAATACCCATGAGTGATCTTTTAATACATCCCAGGATAAGAGAACATTTGGGACAAGGCATTTTCCTCTGACCCCTGCTGTTCTGGTTAGCATTCCTGCTCCTGGTTATCAACAGAGAACAGATAGAAAACTGCACGGAACAGAGAGAAGATGTTGGCTAAATTTCAAGGCAAACCGAAACTGATTAGTGAGGATTGCTTGTTCCCACTCATCTGAACTGTTCAGTATTTCCTCAGCAATTCAAGGAGTTTTGCAAGAGTTCATCTGCTTTTCAGAGCTCGACTTAGAAAAAGGAAAGCGGATCTTTTTACGATAGGGAGAGGAATGTCCTGGGCCAGTGCTGTAATTTTTCTTTTCTGCCTGTTTGTTTGGATAGTCCTGGAAAAACAGGAGGGTTTAGCAAGTTTCCTAGCTGCTGCTAGAAAACATCCATGGACTCCAGTCATAAACAAATGAAAATCACTACTTCACATTACAGGACACGACGATACTGTCAGGCTGTAGAACTGCATGTAGCTGATGTGGACTATGGTTGCTGCAGATGATCTTTGCACGGCACAACAGGGCAGACCCAGTGACCTCTATCTTGCTTTCAGTTTCCTTCTCAATGTTTTCTTTCCTTCCCCCTTTCTATTTTGTCCACTCTATCTCCTGGGACGCGGCACCAGGCGCACAGCCGGGGCTCAGCTCAGCCTGTTGGCTGCCTGCCTGTAGTCGGAGGCAGAAGCAATGTTTCTCCCTGCCCCTGCTCTCATGCTATCAGTTTTCTTGTCCACATCTCAATGCAAATGGAGCTCCTGCAGAATGCTTTGATCCTCACCACCTCCCCCATTTCCCAATCCCAGTGAGTCCTGTCCTGCATCTTGCTGTTGCAAGCCCTGTGCTTCCTGATGTTCTGAGCTAATGAATCTGCACTGCAGTGCCTGGATCTCATGCTGACACACCTGATGTGTTTCTGAAAGGCTCTGTTAAATACCTGGCACATGGCATCATGTCTGGTTACATCGGAATAAGATCACACTGCTGAGCTGCCCTTGGCTGCGTGCTCCTGCCATGTCCAGCCATGCAGTCGTAGGGCTGCACTGTGACGTTGGTGACACGTTCCAAACAACAACAGTAATGCTTTTTTTTCCCTCCTCCAAATCAGGTTAAAAGATGGATGAGATGCATGGCGTGGTGTGGTTGCATGGTGACTGGGAGCAAGAAGAGGCAGCAGTGATGTGCAGTGTGGGGCAGGGGGAGACTGTCCTTTCTGAGAGCAGAGATCTTCAGTTGCCCCACATCAATCACAAAGTTCTTTCCTCGTCGTTTATGATCTTGCAGCAGCTTTTGTGGGTACTTCAGATCTCAGCTGACGTCATTACAGGCTCTTCAAAAGACAGATGGGGTCAATTCAAAGAAGAGTCAGCTTGATTACAATACAGTTGGATCAGAAACACAAACATCCAAAAACATTGCTGAAAAAACCCTCTCTGACTCAGCGAGCCTCTCCCTTTTTGACCTCGGTGTTCTTCAGGCCAGGCAAAGAGTTTTAGAGTATATGTGCTCCTAACAGCCTCATAACTCAGCAAGCTGCCTGCGAGCTGCTACCAGCACCTCTGAAATCCAGAAATGATGTGGCATAAAATCTAAATCGTTCTGAGAGCCCTTTTGGGTAGATGTGGAACCAAGCGTGCTTGTGTAAAAAAATGGCATCCCTCCCCAAAACACGGTACTATGAATGCATGCATCAGTTCAAGGTCTGTTTAATTCACCCATGTATTTGGCAAGGGAGCGACTCCTTCACCTCCCATTGTTCCCAGACAGGTGGGAACAAACCTGATTCTGCAGCAAGACTTGCAAGAATCCTGAGCAGGAGAGCAGAAGCAGCAGTAGAAATGAGGTGATAGCAGTGCTATTACTGACTTCCGTTGCATCACATTATAGCTGCTACAAATGCCTGGGTTGGAATATTTATTATATCCTGGCAACTCAGTCTCCCCATCAGCTGAGTTAAGGGGAGCAGAGTGATTGGAGGTGTTCCCAAAGAGCAAAAGTCTGGGTTTGAGAACTGGAACTACACAGCACAGCAAAACCCTGATCATGAACTTACTGAACATTTTTCTTTTTTAGGAAAACAGGCAGATTTGCCTCCAGATTTCCTCACTGGAGAATCACACTTCTGGGATCTTCAGAGAAAGGCACGTGACATTTGTGCTCCTGTGCTACTTCTGAGTCAACCTCTTCCACTTCCCAATGAACAATTCAGTGCTAATCCTAAGATTTGGTGTGCTTACGCATCTGAAGGTTCTTTTTTTAACCTGGAGACAGTGCACGCAATGGCACATCTGAGTGGTTTTGGTCCCCAGCATCTTACTGTGGTGTTGGCTTCAGCTCTTCATTCTGTTATTCAGAGAAGGAAAAAAAAAAAAAGGAACCTAAGCAAAGTACATTGCTTGCAACACCTATTTTTCCATTTTGTAGTCTCTGAGTATGCACTGGAAGAAACTCTCCCTTCTTTGGGCTGAATGGAATATGAATTTGCCCCTCTTGCTGGAATTATTGATTCTCCAAGAACAAGACAAGGATACAAAGAGCAGTGTAGGAATACCTCAGGATTCTTTGGAGTTGCTTTGTGTATTACTCAGTGCCAAAGTTACACTGGACACAGCAGAGGTGAATGGGAGGTGCTGCTCTGTGATCCCAGAAGTTAAGCAGGGCTGTACAACGCACATCCATCCAGCACACACCATAAAAGCACTTCTGCTATGACTTGCTAGTAGCAGGTGTCAACCACGTACAAAGAGAGTAAATTACATCCAGAATAACTGAAATTCTGACAGCCACGATTTCCCATTTATTACCCCATCTCATGGAAAGTTCTGCTTTTGGAAGAAAATCAGAACGTTAACAAGTGTGCAAAAATACATCCTCAGCTGCAGGAAATTCCAGGTCCCAGGCTTTTTTATTTTGAAAGAAACATTGGAATGATGTCTTCAAATACCACTTTCTGATCTGTGTGCAGGAGAAAAGCCGCATGCCAGAGGCAGCAGTGAATACTGAGGCTTTGCCAGCTCCATATCACGCAGGTGAACAAATCTCTAAAGCATGTTCTTGTGTACAGAGTGCTGGCAGACCCTGGGTGGCTCTACATGCCCTGATCTGTTTGGCTCTAACACACAACGATCCAAAAAAGTCCCGATGCTGAGAATGGTGCTCCTAATCCTCGCTGCCAGGCACCTTACCCACTGCTTCTCCCTTTGTGCAAACAGCAGAGCGTTTGCAAAATGACCGACGTGTCTGCTGTGGAGACTTGACAGGTTAGACAGCAATTGTGCAGCAACAGTAATTAGAGGCCTACTTGTAAAATACGTACGTGCAGCTTTAAGGATGTTAGAAGGAACGTCTGTGAATTAAGCTATCGCGACCAGAAATAAGGAAAAACAACGCAGGGCTGATTTCACTGGTAACAATTACCTATGAAAAGGATAGGAAGGGAAAATGGGAGCACCTTCCGGGCAGAGTTGCCCAAAGATAGGAGTAATGACGGATGCAGCACTCTGCAGCCTACTGATCATTCCCTATTGTTCTCAGATTGGTACAAACACAAAGCAAGGCCAAGCTGGTTTGTCATCAGTGTTATTATATCCTGTGTCAAAAAGGCACCTTTTCCATTGAGATTCTTCTGTTCTGCATCCAGTTGGGTTATTTAGCTGCAAGAACAGGGGACAAATCCTTAAGGAAAGAGCGTTTTTCTTATTCATTTATATATGCTAATTGAATTAAATACATTTTTTAAGCTGATTTACTGCGACGATTTTCTTTCTATATTAACATTAAATTGAAATGACAACTCCAAGACCAACAACAGAATTAGAAGTGAAGACAAAAATTCAACTTGGAACATTAGAGACATCCAGAGACATGAACAAGAATTTTGCTGGATTTCCAGCAGAAATAAGGAATAACAAGGGAAAATTCATCCATACATGTTATTGTGGAACATCCAAGACATCCAGAGACATGAACAAGGATTTCACTGCAATTCCAGGAGCACAATTTGATTTTCTGTCATATTTAAGAGGCATAGCTCAAGAGTTTTAGTATGTCCACATCCCATCATTGGTTGGTATGTTCAAAATAGGCCTTCAGTACCAGTATTTGGAATGTTACTAGCTCCAAAAAAAACCCCTTTTAACGTATTCACTATTAAAACTGCTTCATCACCTTTTAGAAAGGAAAACTCTCACTCTCTGCCCTTGTATGTCCTTTGCTGAAAGATTCAAATCAATAAGGTAGGAAACCATACTTACATGTCCTAATCTCTCTTCCTCTTTCTTGCAAGCTAAATGCAGAGCCTGTTTGGCATGAGAGCACACACAAGCAGGAATGCGGGCTGGTGGTGATGTTGCCAGATCTGTGTGTTGCTTGCAACAGCTCACGGGTGGATTTCTGGATCGCAGCGTTTGTTTCTCAAAAGACAATTTCAGATATTTAGAATCACACTCAATAAACATTTGGAATGTGGTACATTTACTACCTGAAGATAATTTTTCTTACAGAAATGAGAAGTCTAACATTCTATCAGCCCTATGGCCAAGCTAAATACCTAGGCTGGAGTCTTCTTATAATGGCATTTTATTACATCTCATTAGAAACCCCAAGCCTTTCTGTATGAACTACTGGAATCATATTTACAACTGATGGGATTTTGAAAAACACAGACTTTAAAAATTTTGTCGGATAAAAGAATTCCTGCTATGTTTTCTCCTTCCGTAAGGAGACAGAGCCAATGTATCAAAGCTATGGGGAGGGGAAAAAGGAGAAGAAGAATGATGGCAAATACATTTTCTCCAACACCTGTTGGACAAAAATAATACGTTTTCAGAAAACAGATTTGCTTCATGGCAGGGACCATTTATGTCACGTGATGTTAACACCAGTCAGGTTGGAGCTATTTCATTTCAATGCACTTTGGTAAAAAACACATCTCATGGATAATAAGAACTTTATTGGAACGTTGTAATTCCCAGCTCACTTTCAGGTGTCCTCAGAGTTTATATCTGTGTGAGACCGTGAATGGTAAAGAGGATAAACTGCTATCAAATGACACATCTCTTGGGTTGTCCTTAGTGGCTACAATCCATCCTTTTGCAGATGTGAAAGGTTAGCTAGAATTCAAACCAGTTAAAGTAAACCCAGCTCTTGTGGAGGTTACAACCACCTGCCCAGAGGATGTACAATAATTATCATTTCTGAATTAAGTTTTACTTATCCAGGCCAGGGTGACTTTACTCTCATCATGCGAGTGCAATTGGGGACTTCTGGGCTCCAGGTCTCTTTCTAGAAGGGGAAAGTCTCCTACAGCAACTACAATTTCTCCTTCACATCCCCTGCCCAAGAAAGCTTTTAGCAGCAAATATGATACAGTGCTAATGTCTATATACTCTATGCTCCTTCTATTTACAGAGTAGTTTTACATTTTATTATATCCCATTGTACAACTTTACATAGTACCACTATCATTTCAATTCCTTGTTCTGCAATTCAAGGCATACTTGGTTAACTGCCTTTCTGTGTCCAGTCATAGATTTAGCTTTAAAAAAAAAAAAGGTAGAAAAGAAGCACAGTGGTGCAATGTCCAGGCACTTTCCATGTTGCTCAGCAGAAGAAGCAAGCACCCTGTCTGAAAGCACGGTAAACTCAATGGGGGAGGAAAAAACCAAAATCTCTGCTCACGGTGGATTTTTAAAAATCCTTTACACAGTGCCAAATATTCCTGAGAAAGCTCTGTAAAGTGTCGCCGATACGTTTAGATTTCAGCAGTGGGTCTGAGAGAGCAGTAACTTCCATTGCTGGATGTGCCGCTGATGGCGCAGAAGACGTGCAAGGAGTCGTGCATCCACGGCGAGTGCATTGGGTCTTCGTGGTACATCTAGGCAGAACAGAACAGCCACAAGCTCAGTAACAGTTTCAGTTTGTTGCCTATAAAAAAGTTGTTTAAAAAGGTATGGGAAAGAGATATCCAACCTTGTCTTCAGAGCTGTTTCACAAAGGCAGCATAACAAAAATGAGAAAGAACAGCGATTTAGCGATTTCTGTAGCATTCAGATATATCTGCCCTTCTGTACATCACCAGATAGCCTTCAGCTATGACTATCCAGTCTAGGAAAGAAACAATTTTCTCTGTATAGAACTTTTAAATTGTATCTTAGCATCAATAAAAATCAGATCTAAATATTTATATATATAAGCATGGGGGATATATGCAGCTAAGTACCATATATGCAGCTAAGCAGTCACCACTACATCTGTGCCACGTGCCAAGACTTTGCACTCTCTAACCTGAAGGATGCCTTACAGCACTGAATCTACACGCACCAGTAGAGCTGTCCTAGAGCTGAGCACGTTTTTACCCTGTGACTCATCAGAGTTTGTCTGAATTTACAGTTGGCAAACTGAGATGAATCACAGAGTCACAGAAACACCAAGGTTGGAAAAGACCTACAAGACCATCCAATCCACCTATCCAAGACCAACCACCCACCTATCACCAATAGTTCTCACTATCCTTGGGCCATCATCAACACATTCTGGACACCCAGTGTTCAGCCACTCGGAGGCTTCTTGTGCCCATCTGCTGGCAGCTTCCAGTTGTTCTCACATTTCCCTTAATTAAAATATCAGTAGGAAGGTTACAGGCTGACCCATCTGTCCCATCTCCTTCACTAAGTGCGCTGCCTGTGCTTCGCGGCACTGAACACACTTAGGAAAGGACCTGCTGTTTGTAATGAGAACCCTTAATGAATATAATGTACCTTCATGTTTAACCGACTGATTTTGCAGGAGAGGAAAACACGTTTCACTGTTTAGATTGTCAGGTACTGAGCCTGTTTGATGGCAGTACAAAGTTCAGGTCAGCGGTTATCTACAGATCATTGTACAACAACTAACAACAGTGCTCCTAAACACCATATTTTAATACAGAATACTAAAGCCCCACAGAAGAAAGTGAAAATATATCCTTCCCAGTGAGCAATTCACTTTAGTATTTCGGTTGCTGTACTACTCTGCACATTAATCGAAGAACAGGGCAATGCATTTGTAAATATGTAAAAATCATAGGGCATGCTATAATGGTACTTCTTTGTTCCAGGATAATGTTAACCGTAGTGCTCCCACAGTGCAGAACTGAGTGATTTGTTTCCAATTTGACTATTGCAGAATTCAGAAACCACAGCAGTTCCAGCAGCTGCATGCAAATCAGATGTCCTGGAGGAAAGCATTTGCAAACAGTGCGGAGTAAGCAGGTGGCAACTCCTGTAACAAACAACTCTCTAACAAATTCAGCAGTGAAGTAAACAAAGTAGGCAATGTATGAGAAAAAAATGAGCATGCTAAAGAAAAAGACCAGTAAGAGAAAGGTGGTCCTGAGTGGAATAGCAGGGAAATCTAACACAGAGGGGACGTGGCAGTCACCTATCCACAAACACATTCTCTTTTATATCTCTACAATAAAATTCAACCCCATCATGACACTCCACATCCTGTTCCCCTGAAATGCTATAGTGCTACTTTTAAAACAAAACAAAACAAAATAAAATAAAAAGCCTTTGAGCATTGTTTTATTGTGTATTAGTCTGACTTAGTAAAAGCAGCCCGGTGCACTTTGCTCATTTTGCCACTTGTGTATTTCTGTGTTCCTTTGAACAACTGCTCCAACTACTGTGGGATTTACCTATTTGCAGGGACTGCTGCAGTTTTAATTAACTGGGATTGTTGCATTGAAGGCAAATAAACGAAGTTTAAGCCGTATATTATCTAAGCCATAAGAAGATAAAAGACATTGCGTCAGCAGGAGATTTTGGGAACTCTCCTAACTTTCAAGACCTATGAATCACAACAGTCAGCACTGCTCGTCTCACAGGGTTGCTGCTATACGCCTACAATGAGCTTTTTTTTGGTCATAATGAAGGCAAAATAGGAAAGTAGATGCTACTTCAGAAAGTTCTCATTGTATTTCACAGCACAGTACTAGGTAGGTGTGCACCTCACCAATGCTACAATTCAAATGTGTTTTCCTAGAAAGATCCAAGAGAACATTAAAACAGATGATGGAAGGCAGCACAAATAGTTTCGCAGTGCTTGCAAGTGGTTGTTATTAGGTCAATGTTCAAAGAAAATATCCTTTAAAGGGGAAAAAAAAAGAAAAAAAAGGAAGTCAAGCAGGGTTTAATTGAGGAAATAGAAATTTGGAAATTTAGGCAGAGAATTTCAGCCTGTGACTTATCACAGCTTTCATGCAATATAGAAAACACGAAGCCAAACATGGCACAAGAATTCTGATGACCACAACATCTGGGAAACCAACGACACCAATCACTGAAGACTCCATCCTGCATACCAACACCAGGATGAGACTTTCTGGCACTGAATGAGAGGACTGTGGGGGTTGGAAGGGGCATCATCGGCTCCAAACCCCTGCTACAGCAGGTTCCCCAGAGCAGGTTGTGTGGGAAAGCATCCAGGTGGGACCTGGATATCTCCAGAGAAGGAGACACCACAACCCCCTGTTCCAGTCTCTGCTACCCTCGCTCATTGCTGTTCGTGCAGCTAAGATGGAATGGGAAACCAACCGTGTCATTGACATAACATGAGGTGTTTTCTATTAGTTGTCAGTGAGTTTTCATCTTTAGCTACTTTTCAAGCACAGAGAACCATTTCTGTGGGCTCCTGACATGCAGTACATGCCTGTTCATGGATGATGTCCGAAAGCTCTTTCACCATATCCCGAAAGTTTGATTTCAGTCCCTCATGGTACTCCACTTGATCCTCTTTAATGAGTCTCTCGTTGAGCTCCAGAGCAATTCCACAGGCTTGTATAAACTTCCTGGGGAGGAAAACAAAGAATTTTAGGCACGACTGTTTCCTGATCTTCTACTGAAGCAGACAACCATGTCTTCCTGTTTCTCCAAGTCACATTCTAGGGCCATCCTGAGCACAGCGGATCAGGGAATGGGGAAGGACTGCAACACAGAACAGTGCCTTCCAAAGGAGCTCCATGGAGGCTCCATAGGCACTAAATGTGGCACACACCAGCAGTCCAACACAGTGCTCTCTGACCTTCTCCAGAGCTTGTGCACCACACACAGCTCCCTGGGCAGCCCAACCAGCTGCCATTGGGGTCACAAGCAGGCCATGGACAGGTGCACAGGGTTTGGTCCATCTGAGGTCAGATTTCTAGCAGCAGGCACACCCCGCATCATGTGGAGCTCCAATACTGTTTTTACAGCTATTCATTTCATGGTTTCTCATTTTCTTCTCTTCCTTTCACATGCATAGTTCTCCTTTTAACTATTTAATTAATTTATCTGAGACTATAACAAAAACACAAGCATTTCTGGGATTTTCCAGGATTTTTTTTTTTCTTCCCTCTGTGTGTGTGTGTGCATGAAACAGATTATGTTTGGTTTTTCTTTCTGGCTGCACAGCAGGGCTGGAGTGAAAGAAAAACATTATCTCTGCTCTGCAGCCATGCATGGCAGATTTGCAGAGATTATTTACTTATTCTTTCCATGGTTTGCTTGGTTACTTGATGAAGGTAAACAGGATTGACCCAAATGCTGCTCTATCCGTAAGTTACCAGTGGGTGAAATGAGCACCAAGCAATAAATATAGGAGCTGGTGGGCAACTGCTTGCTGCTGAGAGGTCCAGAAAGTAGGGTGGCAAAGTGTGGGGACACACATAGAACTGAGGTAAAGTGAGAGCTTCACCTGACTGGGTCTTGGGGACAGTTTCAAGCGGGAGATAAAAGGCCATGGTCAAAGCACCTACTGTGAAGGGCTGGAGATAGATAGAAAAATGCCTGTGCAAGTCATGTAGTGTCCAGAATTAGAGACAGAATCAAGAATGATGGTCCCCCACAAACTGAAAAGGGATTTGTTTCAAAACAGTTCATCATTATGTAGTTAAAAATCCCTTTGGAAAGATGGGAAAACAACGCACGATACGAAAGGGCCCTGAACGTGACTATCAGGCCTCTGGTTTTCAAACACTCTTTCTTCACACTATCACCTCAAATACCCGTGCTAATAACTGGATAAGGCATTCAAGCATGGAAATCACAACCCTAAGACCTGACATACATTCTTACACTGGCTTGTGACACGGGGATCTTTGTAAATACATCTGAGCATGCAGCATCTGCTGATTTGGGGGACATGGGAAAACACAGCTAAAAACCCAGGCTGCTATTTTTTATTACATTAGAAATCCTACCTGAACATTTCTTTCAACTCGTTCACCTTCTTAGCAGGATATTTGCTGGACTGGCTGTCACTTAGGAAAGCCCTGGCATAGGCCAAGGGACCAGCATTAACCTGGAACCAAAGAAATAAAAAGTCATTTACGCCACAGCTTTGAGTCACTGAGGGCATTTTAGGAGGTTAGAACAATTTCTTAAGGCTTGAAAACCATTATCATGTTATTTGAATGCCACCAACTCTGCGCTACTAATATCACCAGAGCAAGCCCAAGTCTCTAAACTTGAGTATTAGTTTTTCTATCTAGGTTTTGAAAGCCCAAAAGATAAATAGAGATAAAGAAGAGGAAGGGAGTCTGTTTCCTCATACCTTCCTCACACTTCTGC